CTCTCTCTCTCTCTCTCTCTCTCTCTCTCTCTCTCTCTCTCTCTCTCTCTCGGCAGATTATTTAGGTATTATTCAAGTCGCCTAAATAGTCGAGATGATGTATAGGTATGTACACACACACACACACACACACACACACACACATATAGTATTTAAATATATATTATTTAGATAGAGTATATATATTTTTTTCATATTTAAATTTTGTTTACAAGTATAGTTTATAAATATATATTTATAAGTCTTGAATTTTGAGACAGAGATTATTCCATAGATATCAAAATTCGATAGTACGGAAAATGCTAATAATCATAAATTGTGTCATAAAAGAAACGTAAATTAATCAGTTGGAGTGGTGAGACCTGGTATTATCAGCTTTCACATCAACGCTGTGGTTTTGTCTGGCCAAAGGGGTTGAGGGAGATCCCTGAAGTCTTCCCGCACTCCTCACTTTGGATCGGGGGTTGGATCGTGTTAGCGGGGTTAGAATGGATTGTTGGCCTCGGGGGTGTAGGTGGCTACGTACGAATTGAGAAGGGGCGGGTTTCTCCTTCCTGCTCTCTCGTCCTGTCTCCTTCTCTTTTGCGTTATCCGCTTCACTCTTACCCCGTCTACCTCGTAAAGTGATCGGGCGTTTATTCGCCACGCTGTCGGGGACAAAGTGGGCTGCACTCCCTGTCGACTGCTGCTATTTGTCTTCCGACAAGGAAACCTAAAACTACGATCCTTTTTCGGCGCTACATGAACACTATGAAAGGTTAATGCGGATATGGCTCACGATCGGGCATACGATAGCGCTGTAAGACCGAACGTACACTCCCTGAATATTTTTAAGATGACATCGCTTTATCCGTTCAATTTGTATATATTTCTGTGGAAACTCGATCACGTATTTTACGTCCCGTCTCATTGTTATTGTTGTTACTATTGTAGTGCGAACCAATTTTGAATATTACCCATTATTTTTATATCTAAATATTTTTACATCATATTATCTCATGTTATAGTAGTATACTATAATACGGAAAAGTATAAATATATAAAAAAAGCATCTTATTACGCAAAGGGGAATATATATTATTATCTAGTAAAGAGAGAGAGAGAGGAGTTGATCTTCACTTGTGTGTGCGAAATTATATATATATATATATATATATATATATATATATATATATATATATATATATATACACACATATATATATATAT